ATTCTGGACTCTGATAAGGGTGTATGGCAACCTTGTTATGAGCCAACATTGGTCATGGTAAATAAAAAGACCACACACACACCCATATAACATGCACACACATGCGTGTGCACACGCATGCACACACACACACCCCACTGATAGAGTGCTTTAGGGCAGCTGTCTGGGGATTAGTTTTACATCAGGCTTCGCTCAGGTAGCTCTGCATGCCTCTCTCTTTTTGAGATTCTGGCAGTTCTACGTATAGAGTTGGTACAAGAGATCCTACCTCACTGCAGCATGGGATTCTTGACCAGAGAAGTTCTTGAACCTGCCCATGTGGGTCTCATCTCCATGCACCCAAGCTATGACCTGGGAGAGATGAGACAAAGGGCCCAGCTCTAGGACAGCTGTGTGGACTGCTGCAGAAGGTTAGGAGGCCCTTGTCAAGCCTATGCCCTGACAGCAAGCTGTGGCTCCTGTCATGCAAACTTCCCAGGATCCCCAATCCTGAATATGGCCTTTGGAAACCATGTGTCTGGATGGATAATTAGACTCCAGAAGACCTCCTGGTGAACACTGCAATGGATACCTCTGAGGGTTAGATTAAGAAGACAAACTTTAACTCTCTCTCCCTCTCTCTCTCTCTCTCTCTCTCTCTTTCTCTCTCTCTCTCTCCACACACACACACACACACACACACACACACACACACTTGTAATATCAAAATTTTATCATGAACACATAGTCTATTATTTGGTTAAAAAAATTATTGAAAGAAAACAATCTCCACAAAGGAAACTATCACATCAAACTACTTTTAGAGTACCTCCCCCAGAAGAATGTGGTTAAGATTCCAAAAGGAAATGTGAAGGAATAAGATACTATTTTAGACAAAGTTCCAAAACATTATATAGGCTGTGATTAAAAAGATTCTCTACCTTGGCAAGCATATTACAGACTCTGAACATTTTGAGTTCCAATGTACTCTTCAATATTTTTTTTCAAACTGATGTAAAATTTGGAGGTTTGTATGACTAGGTAAATTTAATACACACCGTTAAAAAATTATCAGCAAACATTGTGTTACCCTTGCAATGATGAGAATAAGTTTTCTACTTGCATAGAAACAATAAACCCAATCTGGTAAAGGAGCGAGACATTCTCACTTGACTAAGCAGCAGGTGGCCATGACAGGAAATTCCCATGACCCTTCCATAGCAGCCTTCTGACTTTCCTGAAGTTATCCTTTAACAAGTCAAGTGATTTCTAGGATGGTTTCAGGCCAAAGAGACCATCTGCAGGGAGATGATGATTTCAAGATTAACATTATAGACAGAGATGATAGTAATATGAGCACTAAAGACAGCAATAACACTTGACAAATACCTAATAAACATATTGATCTCAAGCCCTAGCATACACTTGGCAGCTCTGAGGGTGAGCTGCACAAAAGAAAATCCAAATTCACCAAAAAGTACACAGCTGATATGCAACTTGATATTTAAGCTTCTTCTCGAAAATGCTTAATGGATAAGACTGTTCTCCTTGGACTGAAATAAGATTCATCTAGATCTAGATAACATACTAGTGTCTTCAGAGACTTTTAAAAATCCTAATTTGGTATTATTATTGGTTTAGATATAGGGCATGGAATGAAACTGCCTGGTTTTCTACACTGGCTTTCCTTCATCACTTGTGTAACCCAGCGCAACCTGTTCATGGGGCTCACCCTCAACTGGTAACAGTGCCTATACTCCCAGTGCCATCTGCAGGAGACCCCAGGAAGTGCAAAGCACAGCACCAGGTCCATGGCAGGTGCTCAACCCATAGTGGGTAAATGTCACCAGTGGTGGGAACTGAAGGACACTTGGCATCCGCCTATCCTCCTCAGGGTTTGTGAGCAGCACAGCTCCCCTGTGATACTCAGTGCTTATTTTAGGAGACTTCCACATGGCTATAAATCACTGCTTACATTATCTCTTTGACACACATGCACCCATGGGTCTCAGGGTTTTCTTTCATAACTCAGTTATTTTGTGCTTAGGATAAAAGAAATTATTAGTCACAAAGTTGAAGTCAACACAGAAAAGGAACTTCTCTCAGTTACCATCTCAATCTTGAGTCTGTCTTCGGGAAAGGGAGTCCCTGTGAGCAGAAATCATGAATATAATGGTTTGGACACTGAAGCTTACTACAAATTGAAGCAAAAATAAAAGTATTTTTCTCCCTGTTGATCTAAACAATGATTTTTCTTTCTAAAAGAAGATTCATAATATCTTTCTCCTGTAAACTATAGGCTTATAGCCTTCATTTTTCTTGATATTTCCAACTGGGTGTTTAAAAGCATTCAAAAATTTAATATCTAAGTATTCTGGATTTGAGCTTTCTACCACCTCAACAATTCATTCTCCATATAGCCATTATAATGGTCTTTAAAAGTGTAGAGTGGGTCACTTTGACACCTTAACACTGTGTGGTGGCTCACCACACACTAAGAATATAGTTCAAGGTCCAAAGCTAGGCTAGCCCTCTGCCCTCCTTCTTACTGCTCTTACGAGTTTTGCTCTTGGAACACAACACACTTGGTCCCATGCTGAGCCTCAGCATTTGCAGTTACCTCAATGTTCACCTTTCATTTTCATGTCGTGCTCTATCTCAATAATCAGATCCGAACGCAAACTCCCTCCCTTAGAAAGGCCTGCCCCATTGAAAGCACCCCAGTGCTCAGCACTTATGCTGCATGATCCCTTCATGGTTCACTATAGGGCACTTAGCATTATCTGAAATTGCCTTATTTTTATTGTTTATTCTTTGTACTTCATGAGAGGATAGAATACAGCTGTCTTGTTCACAACTGTATCAATCATGCAGAGTTCCTCAATATGCATTTGTGAAGGAATGAGTTCGGTTTGATTTTCTTCATTTGGAGATCACTTCATTTTTTAAAACATGCTTATAATGAATATTTTTTTTCCTTGATAAGATTTTTACATATGTGATAATCGCTGTTTATTAACTTGTTCCATTACCAGGCAACCACTCTGATTTATAAGTTCACATCATTCTTAATTGCTGGTAAGTTTTTTTTGTGGGGGAGCAAGTCACACTTTGTAGTTCAGGCTGGCCTTGAACTCACTATGTGGCCCAGGCTGTCTTGAGACTCGTAGTGATTCTCCTGCTTCAGCCTCCCAAGTGCTGAGATTACAGGCATGCACCACCATTCTTGGCAATTGGAGGTAAGTTTTCCTCTAACATAAAAGATTGCTTCTGCTGAATTTGTCTGAAGTTTTCTTTAAAAACATTATTAGAGATGTGTAGTGATTCTTTCTCAAACACTTTTGTGTGCCTCTTAGCTCATATTTAACTCGAAAGCTATCTTGTCAGAGCTCAACCCTGAATGACTTTATACTCATGTCCAACATCGTCTGCCACATCTCTCTGCTGATATTTTTTCACAAAAGGCATGTAACTTACTTAAGATGGCATGCTTACTCTTAAATGTTATTATGATTCCTTATTATTAGTCTCTCTCTACATATGAATTTAAGATGTATAAAAGAAAATTTTATTCTTTTCACTATTATTTTACTGGAATCTAGAATAAAATCATCCCTAGATGGAATGGGTTAAACTAACACAGGAACAGATAAGAAGTATGTGTAACCAAGGAGTAAGTTGTATGCGTGTATAAAACTTGCATCCTTTTCTTTCAGCTAAATTGCTTTTTCATGGATTACTCTGGGAATTCACTGACTTTAATACAATATGAAAAATCTATATATTATTAAAGAACTGATGCACTAACTCATAACCAAGTAGTTAATGAGCTGCAAAGCTCACTTTGAAAACAAGCTGCTCTATGCATTTCATTTGTATATACTATGTCCACTTTTCATTGACTATGTTAATTTGGGACGTGGTGAGTAAACTATAGAAACAAACTTCCTAACTTGAATTTGATGTAGTAATTTCTGGAACTGAGATCCCCCTGGAACACTAACTGAACATACCTGAAGTGTCTTCAATTTTCAGAGTACTAGTATGGAAGCTGGGTGACAGGATTTCAGAGCCAGCTTAATTCTACCTGGATGCAAGTTTCTTCTACACATCAAGGAGCCATTTTATTTACAAAAAGGTATTTTTCTTTTTACTGTACACCAGATTAGAAAGGGTGGAAGCCACAGTGATGTTAATGAAACATTAATTTATTTAATGTGAATCAATTAGGGACAAATTTCTGACTAAATTATTTTTTAGGATGTCAAAAGAAAGTATAAATAATCGTGCTGAAAAGTGGTACCTAGTGAAAGAAGACAGTGACAGCTGAGTGATTTGCAATACATTCAAACCAAATTTCCCAAACTGCTGGACCTACCCAGGGTATCTTCGGCTGAGGTAAAAATCATCACTACCACATTCACTTAGAAAATACACATCCATTCTAGGAATTCTCTTCCTTACTGAAAGTCATTTTAGAAGCCAGTGTTTGTCCAAAAAGGAAAAGATGACTAACCTAGCAATAGATCCTGATCATGAAACAGGTCTTCCTGCTAGACAGTTCCCTGTTGCCATCTCTCCCCCTTTCTACAGTTGATGGCAAACTAACTTATGACTTGAGTTCTCATTAAGTGGTGTCTAAGCATAAATGTGTCTTCTTTCAAGAGAAAAAAGGGAAGCTCCATACTAAGGAATCTGTTATTATTCATTTTAATAGGTCTTACAGTGGATAAGTTATAAATCGATTAAAATATTTATGTAAAATTAAACATAAAATTAATGAAAAGGATGAAGATTATTTACTATTATCTCTAAGATCTTAAGTTCGGAAAAGCTTTAAATTCTCTAAAATAGAAATGGAACAAAGGAAAAAAAAGGGTTATCTTTGATAATAAATGAAATAAAAGGGTGATACAAGCTAATATTGAGACAGAGAAAGGGGAGGACATTGCTAATACAATCAGCTCATTTACCTTATAAAATGAATGCTCTTAATTAGAAATAATGATTTCATAACTTACCTCTGCATACTTTAACTTCAATGTTTTATGCATGTCTCGAAAACGACTATACCGCCTGAATACGGTCCATGTGTCATCTAGGACAGTAATCTATTAACCAGGAAAGCAAAAATGAATCAGCATTATTAGAAGAAAAAGTAACAAAAATTTAAAAAATACAATTAAAAAAATTAAAAGTGTTTTGGACGTAAAACCTCTCGAGAATTGAAAACATTAATTTATACAACTTATAAATACGACTTATAAATACTAATTATACTCTGTGAAATGTGCACTATTGGCTCCTGAATCTTCTTAAAAGCAGCATGTGCCTTTGTGAGAGGCAGATGGTCACCTCTCAAACGGTTACAAAAAGTGTCCCTAAACTCTCCACCTGGGCTGGAGAAAGGAAATTCCACAGGATGGCCTTTTTGGTACAGTGGTGTGCCCACACAGGATGTCGGGTGACAGGAGGGAAAAAATATGAGAGTAGGAGGATCAGAGAAAATAAAAGGAGGAGGAGAGGGAGGATAAAAAGAAGAAAAAGAGGGAAGCAATCATACTGTATCTCCGTGATTACTAGTGTAATATGCAGATGAGTATAAAGCAGGGTGGTGAGAGCTGGGTAGCCCATTCATTATCTGATCACAGTGACTAGCAGAGGAGGGCAGACACATCAGCTTGCATAATCACACCTGAAACATAGGCTCCTGGCTTGGGAACTCCTGGCTCCATTTCTCTCCTTTTTCCTGAGCTCAGATTCATGGACCCAACTTATTAAAAAAAATTTTTTTTTTGGTTCTGGGGATCAAACTCAGGACCTTGAGTTTGCAAGGCAGGCAGCAGCACCCCTGAGCTAAACACCAGCCCTCCGTGGACCCAACTTAGAAACAAGATTCTTTGGATGTCACATAGGAACTTCCCATTTGATTTGTCTAAAACCATGGTAATTGACATATTGTCCCACTTCAACATCCCAAGGTACGGTCATCACCAACAACCATGGCACACAGGCCAGCAATGTCAAAGCCATCCTTCACCTCCCTTCTCTTTAACAATCCACATAGTCCAAGTAGCCAGGGGTCTGGGTCCTTTGGCTCCCCAGGCATTTCTTGGAGCTCCACCCTTCCATCCTTCCCTTCACCATCCTCTTATGCTAGCCCATTAGGTCTTACATGAATTTTTCCAGTGCTCACCCAGTTATCCAAGTTGGAATCTACCCCTCTCCCCAGTCTTTTTCGGTACAATTGTCAGGGGGCCTTTTGAACGCTCCAGTCTGATCACTCCACCTCCCTCCTGGATGACCTCCAGAAGCTTCACTTTGATCTTGGAAAAAAAAGACCCCAATTTTTAACTTGGCCTTCACTGCCTGCAGGAGCCTCACCCTCCCCCGCAGATGTCTCCACTCCTTTGCACACATTTTCCTCTTTCTCCTACCCCATGGTTTTTTCATGGACCATGTTACTGAATGGGAAATCGTAACCTGCACATTAGAGAAATGCCCTGGTAAACACAATAGTTCAGCACAATTCTCCAGCTTGTAGAGAAAGAGCAGCAATGGTGAGAGACCCCTTGGTTGGCTTCATGGGGAGGATCACCTGGTTCACTCACTTCCCAAATACCTCACTTGAGGCAAGTGAGGTATGTGAGGGTTGTATAAGGACACACACTTTATTTTCATCATTCTCATTCTATATTCATTTCCTACAATAACTTTTTAATTGTGGCAGTTTTCTTAAGTTTCCTTGAAAAGTATTTCCATAACAAAAAGGAGTGTATTTACAGAAAATCATCAGGTGACCAACAGTGCAGGTGCTCTGCAGCTGCAGTCAGTTCTCAAGGCAAAAGCTGGCTGGGCTCCTCTCCAGTGGCCTTCATCAGACCCTGCGGAGGCACTGTGAACAAGGCCAGCACAACCCACAGAGACCAGGCCTCCTTTGGGCCAGAATATGACAATGCCAAGCCTTAGCTGGACACTAACTAGGTGTCTGAGAGAGACCTGGAAGGGGAGCAGGGCTTAAAGTTAATGGAACCACACTGGTGACCGAAGGAAAGAGAGATGCAGATGCCTCACAGGTGAGACTGCTCTATCAGGACAGGACTACACAGAAAACCTTCCCACCCCCAGAAGCCAGGGTTTCCCATGTCATCCAGATTCTGATGCCCTTGGCTCTCATCCCTTCTCCTAAACTCTTTCCATGGCACCTCTTGGACTCATGGTCAGTCATCAGCAAAATATCTTAAATCCTCCTCCCCTGTCAGGAACATCCCCTTCACCTGTGCTCAAAGGAAATCTGGCTTCTCCAGGGGCCTTCTCAGTGAGCCCCATCAGAAGAACATTTCACACACCCTTGACCATGGCTACTCATCTTCTGTCATCTTCTCTGAATGTCATCTTTTATCCTGTTCCCAGGCAGGGGCATCGCTGCTTAGTTAGGGCCAACTCCTCTAGAAAGATCACAAGTGACAACTCTGTCTTCTCTTTACATCTTCAACATATTTCCTCTATTGCATTATTCCTGTGAGCACTGAACAGGTGATTTCTGACATCTTTACCTCTTGATCTTCCTTTCCCTTCCAGTTACTCCTCCATTTTTAAATTCCCAATAAAACAAAACTCCTTTAAAAAGTTTATTCATGATACCATTAATTTCTTTCTTCCTGTTAGTTCTTGAATCCACTCCAATCTATTCATCATCTCACCCTAATTACTCTTGCCAAAGTCATCTATAACCTCCATATTGCTAAATCCACTGGTTAAGTCTTGGTCTTGAATTACTGGCCTTTGGGAAGAGCCTGACATAGCTGATAGCTCTCTCTTCCTTCTAACATCTTTTCACTTGGCTTCCACTTCACTTTCCCTTTCTTCTTATCCTACATTGCTGGGATTTTTCATTCCCTGACCTCCAAGCATCAAAGTGCTCTAGGGCTTAATCTTTGAACATGTATTTTCTACCTGTACTCCTTTAGAGACCTCATCTCATCTCAGAGTTTAAACTTACATGCAGTGACTCTCAGGACACTCATCTCTCTCCCCTGCCCAGCCCAGCCCAGCCCAGCCCAGCCCAGCCCAGCCCAGCCCAGCCCCGTATATCTTGCTGCCTACTCCAACATCTAATATGCGTCTCACACTTAATATGGTACCTTTCTGATATTAACATCACTCACACATGATCCCATTCCCTATCACAGTAAAGGACAATCAAAAACATGGAATCATCTTTAACATTCCTTTTTCACACCTTACATCTAATCAGTCAGCAAATTCTTTCTACCAAATCTCCAGAACGTGGGAGTCCAGCTATTTCTCACTAGCTTTGCTGCTGAAATTTTCAAGCACCATCATGTCTGCCTAGAGTCTCTTTAATGACTTCCTTGCTGATTTGTTTACTTACACACTTGCCCCTCTTCCCTCAGTTTCCTTTGTTCCTTAACACAGTGACCAAAATGGTCTTGTTAAAAATTAAATCAGACAAGGCCACTGCCAGTTCAGACTGCACACCTTCCCAAGGGGTCCTACTTCCTTCGGGTAGAAGTTCAAGTTCCTTCAATGGCCTACACGGCTCTCTATGTAGTCTACCTCTTCCCTGGCCTCATTTCCAACTATTCTCTCCTCAGTTGTCTGCCTTCCTTGCTTCTACACAACACATCAGACATGCATCCAACAACTGGCTGAGAGCACTTTGTGCATCCTTTGTCCTCTTTTGGAAATGCTCATTTCCAGGTTTCCACATGTCTAGTCCCCTTGCTTCAATCTCTGCTCAAAGTTACTTTCTTAGTGATGCTTTCTGGGACACCCAATCTAAAACTGCATCCCTTTCTTCCCCACTTGACACTGTTTTCTCCTCATTCCTCATTTGTTTTGTACTCAGCACATCATTTCCAAATATAGAGTTGTTTTTGTCTCTCTTCCCCACAAGGATGTGAGTTCCAGGACAGCCAGGCTTTTCATCTGCTCCTCGCTGCACCTTAGGATAGCACAGGGCACATCATGGATACTCTGAGAGAGCAATTGGAAGAGTGAGCCCAAAATGGGCTTGTCTTAAATACACTCCAGTTTTTCTTCTTTTTTCTTTGTAAATCTATGCTGGCAGAAAGGGCCTTAAACAAAATTAGAATAAGGTGAACTAGAAACCTAGCTTGTGGGGTTTTAGCCTGCAGTTTCTTCTTCTTTGTTGCTTTCACAGCTCGTTAATATTGAACCATATTTGAAATCTCTGATGAGCAAAATGCCACTGCAAGCCCACCTCACAATCTGAGGTGTGATTCTTCCTTCTCACAGTGGCCTTTACAAAAGATGCCCATTTCTCTCACAAACTGCATATCCCAAATACTGTGAAGGACATAATATAGCAAAGTGATTTCCTGGGCACTAGGTATGAATGGCAGTTGGGCACAAGATGACAAGATAGCAAGATGACAAAAATCCCCACATATGGGTGCCCCCCACAGAAGTATGTAACATACACCTTCTGCTTTCTTGGTAAGTCACTGGTGCTCACACAGCAGGTGGCATTCTTCCACGGCGTGTGTGGGGAGCTGGGAAGAGACAGAGAAAGGCGGGCCAATGCAGAAAGGCCTAAGCCCATCCAAAGCTTTGTAATATATGTATTCCTTCAAATCAAGCTTAACGAACTCAATTAACATACCAGAAGAGTCTCTGTCTATGTATTACTCGTGACTCTAAGAAGTGAAGACAGAAGGGACTCTCTGAAACCATTAACATTATGAATGTAATAAGTTCTCAAAAATGCTGAATAATGATCATTATGTGTATATCCCATGTAGTAATTTTCATGTTTTTGCCTTGTGTCTTGATATTTTAATAACCTCAAATACAGATCTCAATGACTTTGCCCTCAGTATTTCAGTTTACTGTCTGAACCAGTGGTTCCCAAAGTGTGATGCCTGAGGAGCACCATCTGCTTCCCTGAGGAACTTGTGACACTGGCAAATTCAGAGGCTGTATCCACAGAAATCACAAAAAGAGGTGGGGCTCAGCAATCTGGGTTCTTGAAGGCCCCTCAGAGGATTCTGATGCAGGTTAAAGTCTTAGTAGCCTTGCTGTAAGCCACTGTGAGTGTTTATGCTCCAAAGTCAGATGTTGTCAT